GGCCGCTGGAGAAAAACGATTGCTGTGGACAAAGGAAGTTCCACATGGTTCCAGCCAGAGAAGGGAGAACAGGAAAAATCCCTCTCATGGGAGAAAGCAAATCCGGCCACGGGGCTCAGGCTTGCAGCCAGGAGATGCAGCTCAGCTCACCAGCAAGGAGCCCTTAGGTGGTACAGATGGCTAACATGCAGGCCTGTTGATCGAAGAGCTAGAGGGTCATGGCTACTGACTCGGAGGCACTTCACAAGAAAGGCCTGCTGGTCTGGTCTCCCCGAAAATCAGCCAGTGTAACCCTCTCAGAACACAGGTCTACTCTGACCCCGATGGAGATGTCAGGGGTTGGCCAAAACTCTGCAGCACCTGTGTTTTTGTGTTTGTCTTTTCCGCATCACTACAGTGGTTACTCGTTGGGCTGCTAACTGCAAAGTCAGCAGTTCTAAACCCCTAACCGCTCCCTGAGAGAAAGACGAGGCTTTTTACTAGAATGGCTTGCGATTGAGTAACTCATCTTGGAGGCAATTTAACCACGGGAGGAGGAATGTTCTAAGAAAACTTGATGTGGGGATGATTGTACAATTCTCCTTGATATGATTGAACTATTGAATGATGTGTCAATTACTTGCCAATAAAACTGTTGGGGGGAAATAAAAGAGTCCCAGTCTCAGAAACCCACAGAAGCAGCTGTGCTTGGCCCTACAAGGTCACAGTGAGGCTGAGTGACCCCTCGCAGTGAGAGAGATAACACACGGTGTGACTTCAGGCTTGTTACTTAACATCTCTGGGCTCAACCTCTTCATGGGTGAGATGAGCCGTTTGGACCAGTGCTTGCTGATTCCTTTGTTAAACAATGATATTTAAAAGGTTAAGATTGGTTGTTGTTTAAAAACACCAAATCAGCATTATACCAAAAAAACAAAAAATCTTTGGGGAAGTACTTAAAACAGAGATAGAGAACCCATGCCTCTCTGGGATAGAATCAACTCTGACAGCCAGAAGCAGCACATTTCCAGAAGATCACTCAGAATCCTGGAGAAGCGTTTTTGTTCTTAAGTAACTTCCCCGGATCATAGGATCTGGGTTGAGGAATCCTTAATTTGTAAAAACCAACGCCACCCTCACAGTGCAGAACAAGCTAACTTCTGGCTCAATAACCAAACGCACTGCCATGATGGATTCCAACTCATAGCGCAGCTGTAGAACAGGGTGAAACTGCTAATGGGAGTAGAAAGCCTGTCTTTCTCCCACAGAGCGGCTGGTGGTTTTGAACTGCTGGCCTTGTAGTGAGCAGCCCAGTGCCTAACCTATTACACTGACGGGACTCCTTTAACCTCTGGCTTTTCAGGGCCTCAGGAAAGGGTCAGCAGGTGGGTGAGGAAGACCTGTCTGCCTTCCCTGGTACTGCCTAGTGGGCAGCTATACAGAACGGAACTTTCTGTTCTCAGTTCGGGAGGCTGGACATCTGGATTCTTGAGGGGATGGATCTACAGCACAGTTCCCAAACTTATTTGGCCCACTGGCTCCTTTTCAGAAAAAAAAAGTTAGCCCACCCCGCCCTACGTTGCCCCCACACACACACACAAGGCAATTACAAACTTTTACACTATAGCCAAGCGGTTTTCAATCTGTGATTCGCAACTCCTTTGGGGGTCAAACCACCCTTTCACAGGGGTCGCCTAAGACCATTAGAAAACACATAAATATTTCACAGTATATAATTACATACTGTTTTGTGCTTAATCACGATGCTTTCATTATGTTTAATTATGTTCCATTGTAACCATGAAAAGACATCCTGCATATCAGATAGTTACATTATGATTCATAAGAGTAGCAAAATGACAGTTATGAAGTAGCAACGAAAATAATTTTATGGTTGGGGTTCACCACAACGTGGTGACCCTGTATTATAGGGTCTCAGCATGAGGAAGGTTGAGAACCCCTGCTCTAGCCCATAATCCAGGATGAGTTGTAGGCAGCGGCTCTTGCAGCCCCTTGCCTTGTTCCAGCGCCCCCTGGGGCACAGCATCACCGCTCTGGGAAACGCTGGTCCAGAGCAAGGTCTTCCTGTATGTCAGCTTCCATCCGCTGCCTTCAGGTCCCACCTGTGTTCCCCTGACCAGGACTCCACATTTCATCTCTAAACTCATTGCCCTCAAGTCAGTTCTGGCTTACAGCAACGCTGTAGGACAAGGTAGAACTGGCTCTGTGGGTTTCCCAGACGGTGACTCTGCAGGCGTAGAAAGCCCCATCTTTCTCTCAGAGCGGCTGGTGGTTTCAAACTGCTGTCCCTGCAGGGAGCAGCCCAGGTCATAACTCACTGCACTACCTGGCCTTCTCTTCTTGTAAGGAGCAGTTTGGGAAGTTGCTGGCCTTAAAAGATATATCTGCCATCGCTTCTCGGCCTTTTGGCTAAGATCAAGTGTAGTGTCTGTTCTTATCAGTTTAATGTCGGATACGTCCTCTGTCCGAGGACAATATATTAAATGGTTTTGGAATTAGGAGATGGAATAGGAGCTTGCTCCGTCCACTCCACGCATCGACCTGGTATTGCAGTACTTCCAGGAACGGTGCACACACACACACAAAAAAAGATTTATCTGCCTCCCTCATCAGGTATCATTTGTCACTCTGTGGATTTCCGCGTCCATTCCAGTCTTGTTCTGACTCAGAAGTGATTAGGTTTGGGAATCCTTCTTCCCTGGCCTGGCCTCATGACCATGGTAGAAGAAAAGCCTTGTTTCCAAGCAGGATCCCATCCAGAGGTCCAAGAACCAGGATTTCACCCCACAGGGGCGGCAGTCCTCAGTCAGGAGGAAGCTTGCACAGCAGCTGCATTAACCCCTCCCTCCTCCTGCTCAGACCTGGTGGCATAGTGGGTTGTGCATTGAGCTGCTAACCACCAGGTGCCCCAAGGGAGAATGGGGAGACCGTCTGCTCCCATAAACCCTCAGTCCTGGATGGTGGCGGGCGGTTTGTCCCTGCTCAGGAACACGTAACCCACAAGGAGAGGGTCTCATCCGTTCTTGTCGGCTCCCAGGTTTGTGACATCGTACAAACTGCCACCAGATGGGGATGTTTTTCCAGAAAAGGCTACTAACCACGGTCCAAAGGCATCATCCGTTTGTCTGGCCCTGCACTGGTCAGGGTTTCTCACAGGATTTGAGTTGAGCAAATCGGTCAGCTCCCTTTTTCCAACTTCACGTTCTGGTCGTCCTCACAGTGCTTCAAACTTAACCCCCAGAATGCTCTTCTCTAGCACCGCGAGAAACATGAGGCTTCCTGCTCCTGCGAAGAGTTGCCGTCTCAGAAAACCCTGTCCTGTGGGGTCGCTGTGAGTCAGCATTGACTTAATGGCAGTAGGTTTTTGAGTTTTTACTCTGTTGCACATTGAATAGACTGCGCATCGTATGCACGTCACTTTTATTTGCACTGGAGACCAGGACGTGATGGTGCCTCGCTTTCTTCACAAGTTGGGCCTCCAAGGGTATGGGACGTTTACAATGAGGTGGCAGAATAGCTTCATGTGCGACCAAGAGCTGCAAGGTCAGCAGTTCAGAACCACCAACCGCTTCTCAGTAGAATGATGGGCTTTCTCCTGCTGTCAAGAGTTACCGTTTCAAAAACTCCCAGGGGAAGGTCTACCCTGTCCTGTAGAGTCGCTGTGAGCTGGGACTGACGCGATGGCAGTGAGTTTGGTTTGGTTTGGATCATACACCTCTAGAAACTAGGGGTCGGGGGTGATGTCATTCGGTTGGCCTACTTGTCCATTCGTCTTTGAAAGTCCTCCAACAACACCACTGTCTTCTTGACATCCCCTTACCCCTACCCCCCAGGCCTTAGGCTCCAAAGGCGCTCTCGTTCATACAGGTGTGTGTAGGAAGTCCCACACCCTCACAATCCCCAGTGACAGAGACAAGGAGCAGGAGTCCAGTAACGGAGGAAGGGGCGGGGCCGGCTTGGAGGTTCCATCTGCATTCCTCAGAGGGGTTCACTGTTGGTGCAGAAGGAGGCTTGAGTTGAGATGCCTCATATGCTGGGTTGTAGGTCAGAAGAGGCCAACATGGTGGAAATGGTTCTAGGCTTTTGACTGGGCAAGAAATATGCTTCTACCCACCCACCCACCCTACGCGCGCCGCCCCCCCCATCTTGAAGATCTTGAGTATTTTGAAGTATTTTTTAAAATTTAATATAAAGTGGAATAAAGGGAAGGTAGTTTAAGGGGTATTGTATTTAAGTGTGGAGAATTGCATTATATCTGTCGATGACAGGAATTAAAAGGCATGTGCTTGATATGCACAGTCCAGCAAGTGTGACCAACCAGTAGCTGTAACACTGCCGATCTGCTTGGCCAGGCTTCATCCAGCTTACACCCAGAAAGTTTGAAATAAGTGACACACGAGGTTGAGAAGGAGGGGGAGCAAGAGGAAGAAGAGAAACCTTGTAAGCTGACCACCACCCACCTCTTCTCCTTCTGGCTGCCCTGGGGGCAGGGGCAGGATGTGGGTTCCCAGCAGCCCCTGAGCAGCTCCCCTCATCAGTCCCTGACAGGGTGGACCCCCCTGGGTCACCCTCGCTCTCCCATGGAGTGCCTAGTTGACGTCCAATAGAGAAGGCCGGCCTAAGGTGGGTGATTTATCTCATGCCACCCACTCAACACTGGTTCTACGGGCTAGGTTCTTGGAAGTGCGGTCAAGTGCTCTAGTTTGTGTCCTCAGTGAGCGCCCCGTTGGGAAAGTCAGGGAGGCAGATACAATAAGGAGGAAAGATCTAGATGCCGAACGGAATCAGGAAGGCTTCTCCCAATCCATCTGGCTCGTTCTCTAAACATGGACGCTGACCTCGCAAGAGCAAGGTCGCTTTCTGAACAGGCCTAACTGCCTCGGGCCTGACCTGCTCACAGAACAACACCAGGATCACTGCCCTGGACCCTGTCCCCCTCCCCGACCTGTTGCTCACGGCCTGGGACCCTGATCATACCCTCCCCGGTTTCCTCTTGGCAGCTCCACAGCGAGGTAGAGAAACCCCTGATGAACTTCCGAGAAAACTTCAAGAAAGACATGAAAAAATGTGACCACCACATTGCGGACCTCCGCAAGCAGCTGGCCAGCCGCTACGCCTCTGTGGAGAAGGTGAGCATCCAGGACCTGGGCAGGTAGGAAAGTGCGGGTCTGCCACAAAGGGGGACCTGGGAGCCCTCCAAGTGGCCCCTGTGGCTCCCCAAGGGGGTTCAGATGGAAGCAGGAGTCTGGAGCTACCCCTGAGCACCCCCACCCTGCCCCAGGGGCTCACAGGAGTTCCTAGGGAATAGTTGGGAGGGCAGAGGCATTTGGGCACGTGTGACTAGGCAAACACATAATCTTAATGTGTTTGTGGTGAGAAATAAGTCACATAAAAGTCGCTGTGTTTCCTCCGTACACGCGCCCGAGTCGGGGCAATGAGTGTATTCACAGCCATCCCACCATCTTCTCGTCCAGAAGGTTCCCTAACCCCACAGGGACCCCATGCTCACTGAGCACCCACTCCCCTTCCTCCCCTGCTGGCACCCTCTAGTCTACATCTACATCCAGGTGCTGATGCTAGATGGTTGTGTCGGCGGGCACCGCAACATCTGTCCTTGTGAGCATGCTGTCTCTCACACAGGATGACACCATGTCCCCATGGTTGTCACACCTGTCAGCACGTTACCTGTCTCTGGCTGAGCACTGCTCCCTGTGTGGATGGGTTGCGTGGACCTGTGGGTGCCTGTGAGGCAGTTCCCCACCTTGTGCCACCACGGCCAGCACTGCACTCAGCATTGGCACCCAGGGCTGCGTTCCAGTGCCCGCGCTCCACCCTGATTGGGCATCTGTCCAGTAGGAGACTTGCTGGGTCTTGGGTAGTTCTGTGTAGACTTGGTGAGGAACTGCCAAACTGTTCTTGGCACACCTGGCCCATCTCACGTGCCCCCCCCCAGGAGTTCGTGGCGATGCCATTTTCTCCACATCATCCATGACACTAGGACTGTCTGTTTTATTTATGGCAGCAGCCTTCCCAGCAGGGGCAAATGGGCCCCTTACTGACACCCATGCTTTTGTGGGACTTGTAGCCCTGGATAGGCTGCAATTCCGTGCATGCCCGGCCCCGCCCTCCCACTGGAAGCTTCCTCCTGGGAGACAGTCTCTTTCCCTGGCCACATTCCCAGCTGCTCGCTTTTCTGCTGGGAATTCAGGCAATGTGTGTCTGAGGCTCAGGCTGATGGGAGAAGAGTCCTCCTTCGGCTGATGCCAGGGCCACACGGATGAGTGTGGGAGAATGGGGTGTGAACTGCCGTGGGCACCCAAGGCTTGTGGGGCTGCTGGTGGTGGGCAGGTGAGCAAAAACATGATGAGGAAGGGCAGGCTTGGGAGAGGGCAGTAGGGCTGGGACACACATGCTGTTAACGCTGATGGAGGTACCGAGGATGACCTTGCTGGTCCCTCCCGAACCCAAGAGCCGGGCTTAGGGCTGCCCAGGCCCCAGTGAGCTCAGGCTGCCGCTTTCCTGCCCAGGCCCTGGTGTGTGCATGATGGTTGACGAGAGGGCCCGGTCACAGTGTGTTTGGAGGCACCCTGAGAGCACCCAGGTTGCAGTCTGTGCTGCCATTAGCTAATGTCCCTACTCAGCTGGGAGGTGCTAGTTCAGTCACACAAAGAACTCAGGCCTGGAGAACGGAGGCCAGCGGGCGGGCGCCCCGGAGCCCTGGGACTAACTCCCCATGCCATTGCCTAGGCGCGCAAGTCCCTCACCGAGCGGCAGAGAGACCTGGAGATGAAAACCCAGCAGCTGGAGATCAAGCTCAGCAACAAGACGGAGGAGGATATCAAGAAGGCACGGCGGAAGTCCACGCAGGCTGGTGAGAGTGCCCCCCCTCCCCCAGTCTGATGCCAGGAGCGCAGGGTGGAGACAGTGGCCCTGGCTGGAGCGGGGCAGTGCTGCTCCAGAACTGGCAGGGCTTGTTAGGGGTGCAGTTTCTGATTGAGCAAGCCTGAGGGACGGCCCGAGGTTCTGCGCTCCTAACAAGGTCCCAGGTGCGGCTGCTGACTTACGGTTGGGGGTGTGTGCTGAGCTGTGGGATGCGCGGTCATGGCTTGTTTCAGTTACCTGACGATCTGTTTTCTTTGGGCTTGCACACTGCTGCCCACAGAAGGCCAATTTTGGGAGCTATTACACTAGCCCTCAGAGGAGCCCTGGTGGTGTAGTGGGCTACACGTTGGGCTACTGACCGTGGGGTCAGCAGCTCAAAACTACCAGGTGCTCTGAGGGGAAAAGATGAGGCTTTCTACTCCAGTAAAGACAGCGTCTCAGAAAGTCGCTGGGCGGTTGGCCACGATGAGTCTGAGTTGTATTGTACCGGCCACCAGAGGGGAATGGTCATGCCTGCTTCCGCGCTGTCTCCTGTGAGGAGAGGGTGCAGTATGGTGCAATAGAAGGAGCCAGCTACCTGCCACCCATCCGTGCTCTCTGGGAGTTTGCATGAGGTGCACCAGTGCAAGGTTCCAGGCCTCACGGCAGACGCACGCGTTGGATGTGTGACTTTGTGTTGTGGAGCAGCATCTTGCTGTACATGCACACATGCACGCGCACCCACACCCCCACAGCTATGATTTACAACAGTTTCTCTGATTTTTAACTTCAAGTAGAATCAGGTTACTTGTAAAGCATGTTTCGGCCAATCGGAATTCTCAAGTGTAAAAGGAAACTACCATTGATTGATAAAGAGGCTTGTTATAGGACTGGCCCTCCTAAGCATACTCCCCACCACCACCACCACCACCACACACACACGCAGAAGCCCTAAGAACCCCCCACCCCCCTTCAAATCTTTGGTGTCTGGGACCAAGTTCCATCTCATGATACTGGGTTGACCCCCACGCCTCACCCCTCATTCCCCCCCTCCTATGCACCATTGGTTGGCATGATCCCAGAGAGAGGAGAGAACATGGCCGTGGGGGCAGGTGGTAGAGGGCAGCCAGGCCCAGGACCCAGATGGAGTATGACAGAGGCTGCTGGCCTTTTTCAGGCGATGACCTCATGCGCTGTGTGGACCTCTACAACCAGGCCCAGTCCAAGTGGTTTGAAGAGATGGTGACCACCACCTTGGTGAGTGATCAGAAGTGTTGGATGCCCAGAAAGCCTGGGCAGGTGGGCACATGGTGCTGATGGGATGAGGTGACCGTTGGATCTACACCAGGGTCAGAGTGAAGACCTCGGGCACTGTCTCAGGCCAGACTCTGTGGCTTCAAATCCCGGCTCTGCCACCTCAGGCCTCAGCAAACCTTGGGTCTTGCTCTCTCCCCAGAGGGACCAGGGGCCACTGAGGATGCTCCCAACCCAGAAAGGGGCTGGGCTGTGGTTCCTGTAGGACAGAGAGCCAAGAAGTAGGAAGAGCCTCGGGTCCTTGGAAAGAGATCCTTGAAGACTACTAGCTGAGCGAGGTTGTGTGTGTGTGTGTGTGTGTGTCAGGGGCATCTGAGCAAGGTTGTGTGTGTGTGTGTGTGTCAGGGGC